AAAACAGAAAAGAAAATCTTTGTGCCCTTGGGAATGGTAGAGATTCCTTATCTAAGTTGCAAAAGGCATGAACTGTAAAAAAAAAATAAATAAATAAAAATTGATAAATTGTAACTCATCAGAATTTAAGGGGCGCCTGGGTGGCTCAGGCGGTGAAGCATCTGCTTCAGCTCGGGTCCCGATCCCAGGGTCCTGGGATCGAGCCCCACGTTGGGCTCCCTGCTCAGCAGGGCATCTGCTTCTCCCTCTGCCCCTCCCCGCTACTTGTGCTCATGTTCTCTCTATCTCTCTCTGACAAATAAATAAATAAAATCTTTAAAAAAAATTTGTTATACAAAAACAATGGATCGTGGATCACCACATCAGAAACTAATGATGTATTGTATGGTGACTCACATAACACAATAAAATTTTTTTAAAAAATGTGTACTTGATCAGAATTTAGAACTTCTGCTTTTTGAAAGACACTTAAGAAAAATAAAAACAGACCACGGAATGGGAAAAAATTTTTGTAAACTTGTATCTGATCATGAATTGTATCCAGAATATACGAAGAACTCTTACAATTCAATGTCAAGAAGACACAACTCGATAAGAAACAGGCAAAAAATGTGAAGTGAGTTCACCAAAGGAAATACATGGGTGGCAATTATGCACAGAAAACTTTTTCAGTGGATGAGTCATTAGAGAAATGCAAATTAAAAATGCAATGAGACACCATTTGTCACCCACTCAATTGTTGAAAGTCAGAGACGGACGAGACAGGAGGCACGGATGGAGACATGGGAGCTGGCCAGTGCTCAGCCCCGGCAGTGGGAAGGCGAAGTCACACGGCCACTTTGAGAAGACCATGGGGCGATGTCATGTAACGTTAAACATGCACTTACCATGTGAACCAGCAACTGACTCTTACATATTTAGCCAAGAGAAATGAAAATGAAAGACTAGTACTTGAATGTTCATGGCAGGTTTACACGTAACAGTCCTGGATCGTAACGAACCAAAGCTTCCATCAGCAGGTGAACAGACAAGTAAGTCGTACCAACTCCATATCACAGAACACTGCCCACCAACCAAAAGGAACAAAGTCCTGATGTCCGCTCCATGGGGGGGAATCGCAAAGGCATTTTGCTGGGTAAAGAATCCAGACATCTAGGACCAGGCACGGCATTATTCCATTTACGTGAAATTCTAGAGAAAGCAAAAGAGGAGTGATGGAAATCCAGTCCTGACTGTCATAGGTCAGGGATGAGAAGAGATTGGCTGAAGGGGGCACGGGGACCTTTCCGGGTTGACGGAAATGTTCCCTATCAGGATTGTGATGTTGATGGGCACTTGTCAACACGCATTGACTCAGGTACTTCCAGTTGGTGACGTTCACTGTGTGTAAGTTATACTCCAAGAGAGTGAATAAAATAACTGCACACAGGTCCATACAAACGCGCTGGTTAAGACAACAGGTGCCGTAGGTCGGAGTCCTCCCCAAGGACGGAGGGGCGTGTGCAGGTTCGTGAGCAAGGCAGGACTTGAGGCAGCCCCTGAAGGAGGGAAAACACAGACTGGGGGCTGTGGGGGACAAGTGAAGGGAGGCGGGGCAGACACAGCACGGGGGCCACGGGGCCGCCAGAGGGACTCAGGGGACCGACCGCACGGCAAGCCTGGGGGCTGTATGGGCTCCCAGGGCGGTGGGGTCGCTGGGGTGGGGTCACGCGGAGGCTGGTGGCTGACGACGGAGCGGGCAGCAGAGCGCCTGTGAAAAGGGGACGTCCCCCTGCACTGCGGACGCGGTGCCCAGCTGGAACCCCAGCTGGAACCCCGCTTCAGAGAAATGGTTTCTTTAACCACACCATGACCTATAATGTCTTCTGAATTCAAATTCAATTCCGCTCAACAAACGCTTAGGAGCTCTCTGTTGAGGATGACACTGGGGATATATGAGCATGAGTCACAGGTCAGCTCCAGCTCCAAGCAGCTGTCGGGTAAACCGACGCAACACTCGCAGCAAAATCCTGCGAGGCCGAGAAAAACAAGTGGACGGCTCTCAGCGAAGAAAAGGCCAGCGTCCAGAGGGCCTTCCTAGAGGGTGTCCACCCGAGGAGCTGGGTGGGCGGCCCCGGGGGGGACGGGGTGCTCAGGCCAGGTTGGGGGGCATGGGGTGTTTGCACCTGCTCAGTATGAACAATCTACAAATCTGGACAGCAGTGAATTCAATGCTGTTGTGGTTAAGAATCAGTGTTCTCAATAAAAAACACTGTTGTCACATTTACAGGGATGCCAGTCACTCACCGCGATTGGAAATGATTCAGTCTGCCCCAGACCACCATCATCACCGCAAAAATCATGCGAATTGTGTTAAGGAAATTGTATTGGTGACAGATTAGCATCTGGGCCACCACGACCCATAAGGAAGCCTATACATGTTTGGCGCAAGTAAATTACCTCAGATCTTGGGTAGCAAATGTTACCTTTTTGGAGAAACAACAAGTTCTGGACTTCTTTGTTCCAAACGTTGAGATGGTAAAGCCATGAAGACATTTTTGAAGACCTTCTTCACTGAATGGGGTGGGGGGGAGTGTGTACTGTCTTATCTACTGGGGGTTGGCGGCCGCCGCAGAGGACACGTCCGTTCTTCACTGAGCTGACAAACCCACAGTCTCGAAGTTTCCGGATGCAGAAGGCTTGCCCCACCTTGTTTTTAAAGCTCATCTCTCTCTCTCTCTCTCTCTCTCTCTCTCTCTCTCTCTCTCCCTAGCATATCCCTGTTATCACCACCATTCTTGCCAGGTCTTATTTTGAAGATCACATCTAAAGGCGCCGGCTCAACCAATTCTTAAAATGTAATTTGCTTATCTTTGAAACTCGAGTATTTCCTAAGTCACTGTCTGTCCCACAGCCGGGAATACGAACACTTCCCCAGAACCAGTTGGTATGAAGAGAATCTGTGGGACCAACTGTTCTGAATTGTCCTTGGGAGGAAATTTTGAGGCTTCTGAGGGGAAATCATGATGACACGCTTAGAAACACTACTCTGTTCAAACCTGGTTTTGCAGTGAGGAGCCTTCTTGCCTGGTACTCCACTGCTTTGAGTAAAGTGCCGACCGTTGCTGGCTCAGGCACCCACTATCACCACCTGCCTGAGCCTCAGCCCCTCACAGGCTCCCGCCGCCTCGCGCCCCTGGGGTCTCACGTCCGGCCCACTGTGGCATGGCACCGAGTGAGACGCAGGAACCAGGAGGCCCAGATCCGGTGACTGATGCCCAGGGAGTCCCACCAGAGAACAGACTGTGTAAGAACTCTCAAAGCTCGTTTGCAGAGACAGAGAAGATCAACGCCCTGGTGCAGATGCCAGGCAGGATGCTGACGTGTGTTAGGAAGGGCTCCGGGGCAGCCCGGGATGGAAGCGCCAAGTGCTCAGGCGGGTGGGCCCACACTCCAAGCCTGCTTGTCATGGTCACCAGCTTGCAGAGCAAGGAGGCATTGTAGACACTGCAAATCTAAGATTAAGTCTGAAATTTGTAAGTCCTCAAGATGTGGAAGTATGATCTAGGTGAAAGACAATGAGTGGTTATGAGCTGGGTGACTGCCCAGTGCAAGACCCTTACTGGCACCATGCTGGGCTCTGTCCTGAGCCCTGGGCTACCCGCTATTTTTATGACTGTGAGGGCCAAAAATAGAGGAGGCAAGCCCATCAGGTCTGAAGATGACGAGACGCCTAAGACTAGAATCATTATATTGGATGTGACAGAACCAACGTGATAAAACCCTGGACGGAATCAAACAATGGGTCGAAAGTCATAGGATAAAATTCAGTGGGGAAAATAGGAGGTTCTGTGGCTTGGATTTGAATAGTCAATTACATGGATAGAAAATGAAAGCTTAGCAGCAGGATCAATATTAAGAGTTTTATTTGATAGCAATTTCACTGAGAGATGACTGAATCTATACAGCAGATACAGCATCAGCTAACCGAGCGTCTAACGGAAGGTTACCTGCATCTACATCGTATTTTCCCACCTCGATCACATGCTGCTTGCACACTTACTCACAGACACACTGTTCTGATAGACAGGGTCAGTGTGTGCGGTTAGCAGAAGCAGGGCCCAAGAGATGCCCGTGCCCTAGTCCCCAGAACCTGGGGAAACATGTCTTTCCATGCCAAAAGGACTAAGCGTTTGAACCCTGAGGTGGGGAGATGACCCTGGGTTATCCAGGTGGGTCCCATGCCGCTTCTTGAGTCCTTAAAAGTGGGATCTTTCCCAGCTGAGATGGAAGAGGGAAGAGAAGAGACTCGAAGCATGGGAGGACTCGGTCCATCGTTGCTTTGAGGACCAAGCAGGTGGGTAGGCTCTGCGAGCTGGGACCGGCCCCCCCGACAGCCAACATGAAGAATGGGGATGTCAGTCCTACGGCCACAAAGAGCTGATTTCTGGCCACGGTTTGATTGAGCAAGGAGACAGATCCTTTTTTGAGAAACTCGAAGAGGAACACCCCTGCCAACAGCTCCACTCTAGCCTGGTCAGACCTGCCCTGGACCCTGACCTACAGTACGCGGTCTGTGTGGCTGAAGCTGCTGATTTTGTTATGACAGCAATAGAAAACTAAAAACAGTGCTCGCTAAATGCATCCTGTTAAAATTAATTTGTTTTTTTAGGTCAAATCAGTAAAACTCTAGGGTTTAGAATGAGGTAGGTAATAGTTCCGGTGACTCTGCTCTGGTCAGACTTCCACGGTAATTCTGATGGTGCTACAGGAAACGTGAGCAGCCAGAATCAGGTGAGGCCCAACGGCCAGGCCAATGAGAAGCAACCAGTCACCACGCCTGCGAGTGCCAGTTGCCTAGCCTCAAGACAATGACAGGTCGGGTAGGAATGAAGTCATCAACTAACCTGCAAGGTCGTCATGTGAAAGAGGGTCTAGCCTTACACTCCCACGAGTGGAGGTTACACAGACAGACTGTGACCTAGCATCAGAAGAACAGTTGGACCGTTTAGCAAGAATGGCACGGGCCCCTCAGGAGATGCTTCTCTGTCAAGCACAGGTGGGTGAGTCTTTACGGAAAATGAGGAGGCTGGGAGGTGGATCGGACCCACTGAATCAGAATTTCTGGAGATGCAGCCCTTTGGAAAGGCAGGCTGACCAGTAGGCTGCATCTCCCGCCTTTCAGCTGGGGCTCCAGTGACCGTGAACCTGGACCAGCCCTCCTTGGAAATACACCAATGGCCTTTGCCAAGGGACGGAGACCTGGGCGTCCCTATCTAAATGTCTAGACATGCTTCTAAGCAGACTATACTTGTATACCTACACCCCTGACTGCATGCAAACTGGATTTTATGGACGAGGGGCACTGTCCATGGGAGGACGGGAATTAGGCACCCAGGGATCTCCTGTTTGCATGATGAGTGGGTATAAACTGGGGACCTTTGTGACAATGTTTTCACACACACTCTCCATAACACTTCATGTTGATTTGTTACTGAAACCCGTTTCTGGTGAGCTATGTCTAAGGGTCTGGGGCTCCTCCGGGAATGTGCCTGGTGCTTCCCTGCGGAAAATTTGATGTCGGGCGAGAGCCGTAGGTCCTGTGGATGTCTGCTTTGACCACTCAGCTCTTGGGTCCCGCACACTGTCCACATTACTCTCCCCCATATTCATGTGTGGGAACTGCTGCTCCCGAGGGAATCCCAGCTTCAAGGGACCAGAGCACTGGGATAGACCAGCTTTTGAAAGTGGTTCCCAGGAAGGCTCTGGGTGGGAAGAAGGGAGGGAGATTGGCGGGGAGATGGCTCTGTGGTTCATAAGTTTGGGAAATGCCACTAACCGCAACCTCCCCTTGGATACTGACACAGCAGTTTCTCATCAATGGCTCTTCAGAGCGCTGCTTGCTTGAGCAATTACAACTTCCCAGACCCACTCACCCTCGGAATTAGAGGCTCGAAGTAACCCCTGAGTGACTCCCTTCTCACAGTGAGCATGCTCAGAACTGGACTTTCATTAAAAGATAGGCCTTCTTGGGTCTCCCCTTCCTGTTTTAGAGGCACATAGCGCTAAGTTAAATCTCATGAGACTTTTGTATTTAAAGTTTGAAGCCATATGAACATATCACCCTTCTAAATGGAAAGCAGGTGTGCTCAACCCCAGCATTACATGTATGCATGTGGTCAATGATCATTTAGTCCCTGCTTTTCGGTCTTTAAAATTTCAAAGACTTTGTTACTGCCCATAAAAAGAAAGTGTTACTTTAAGAAAAATTCAATGTTACTTAGAGTAACATTTTAAAAATAGCATTTAAAATGTTAACTTATATTTTTATTGCAATAAGAGAGTGTGACTTCCTGTACAATTTTTGTCAGATACCACATGCAAAAAGTCTCAGAAACTAACAGCTAACTAAGTCATGCAGGAATGAGATGAACAGGGGCGCCTGAGGGCTCAGTCAGCTGGGCGCCCAACTCTCGGTTTTGGCTCAGGTCATGATCTCAGGGTCATGGGATCGAGCCCCACGTCAAGCTCCACACTCAGCACAGAGTCTGCTTGAGATTCTCCCTCTCATCCTTCCCCCTCCCCCCACTGTCTCTCTCGCTCAAATAATTAAATAAATCTTAAAAAAAAAGAAAGGAAAGAAAAGAAACTCTGATACTACATGACCTAAAAACCAGAGCCAGCCCAGGAAGCCAAGGAAGGGTACCAGCGCACCCACTACAGCTGAGGGGAAGCCGGGCACCAGTCCATCCCCCCTCAACACAAGTGCGCCCCCCGCGAGCAGAGGAATCCCGCCGCACCTCTGTTCCCTGAACTCTGAGAGCTCTGGGAGTTCTTCAGTCACCTGACCAGGGGCAGGTAGGAAACATTGCTAGTTCTTAGCAGCAAGGGTCCTAGCTGGGACCCGCTAACCGACACACGCTCAGGCTGGTCACTCTCTGTTGGGACCAGGAGTGGGTGCAGGCAGAGGGGCCGCAAACGGGAAGTAGGAGCCCCTAGAGAAGAAACGAGGTCTGGAAAAGCAGAAGGGGCAGCCAACACACCAACTCCCACTGCTTGTCCTTTGGCCAAGGGCAGACTCTACCCAAGAAAACTAAGTGTGGGGAAAACATTAATAAGACATCAAAATATTATCAGCAAGGAAAACTGCTAAAATTTTAACTTAGTTTATAACAAGTTTAACAGTTAAAAATTAAATGAAAGCAGATTTTAAATCTGTACTTACTTTCATAAATAGTGATGGCCCACAAGATACAGAACAAGAACTAAATAAGAGTGTGTATGTGTGTGCATATACACGTGTGCATAAGAGTATGAGTGTAGATAGGTCATGTGTGTATATGCACGCATGTGTGTGTTGTGTGCATGCGTGTGCATACCTGTGTTTATGTGGGTGTGCATATGTTGTGTGCGTGCATGTTTGTATACTGGTGTGTGCACATATGTGTGTATACATGCATGTGTGTGAGATCACTCTGGGGGTGTGCTATAAATTAAGTTATAATTGCATACTGGACACCGGGATCACTGCTTTACATCTATTATCTCTTTTAACAAAAACCCTTTAAGGTAGACACTATACCCATTTTTCAGATGGAAGACTAGAGGACTGTTCACTCTTAACACTCTAATTCACTTTGTCTCCACAGGGTCTTCCTGAAGGACTAAATTCTCACAAGATCTTAGATAATACATATATTTTCAAACCTTTTAATTGATACCAGAATCTCTTATACTGCAACTACAGGTATTCAATAAATGTATGTTTTCTCAGTTCATTTGAATCATGGGCACACAGTGTTTTATCCTTTTTTAGATAAACATCAGCCAAGCTGAAACTCTAGGCTGGCTTCCTTCTGCTTTCGAATAAGAGCGGTTAAGAGAGAAGCCAGAAGGTTTTTTCCAGTGATTTGTATATAGGTTTGTAAATTTTTTTTCTTTTGGTTTTTTTCACTTCTTTGGAAGCTCACTTTTATATTTGCTTTTTTATTTGCAGAAATCATACTTTTAATCCTTGCAAGAATAGATTTAATGCAGACCTTGCATTTATCTCTTTACAGGGTTGATCTCCACAATCTGTTTCTGCTACTGTATAGGCTTTGGAGGGAATCTATGGCAGACTCTCTCAAAGATCATTATGCTTTCTCCTGTGGTCATGAGACACTGACTTCCTAATCATTATGGCATTTGCAGACATTATCAGAGCTTTTTCTGTATTGCCCCGAGTCTCATAAAAATTTCCACCCTATCAATTTCTCTTAAACAACACCTTATAAGCTCCTTCCCACTCAATCCCCAGCTACTCAAAATGCCCACTCACTATCTTCCATTGCACAGATCACATTTTGCATTGGTTTCAAAACATTTCTTAGCTTAGTCTTTAGCTCTTCAGACTTCTTGTGTTAAATAAATGACTGCATTTCCCTCAAGACCGCTGCCCTGCGGGTATTTAACTATGGGAAGAATCAATGCCCAAACCATCCCTGACGCTCCAGGGCAAAGGCAATTACGATAAAATCGCTCACTGCACACTTGAAGGAAAAGGGAGATTTTTGGAAGCACGATCCTGTTCCTAAAGCCAGAAAGACAATGTCTTTGCAAAAGCAAGACTGCTTTATCAAGGGCAACACACTCTCCAGGCCAGTGTTCTGGAACTCCTGATGCCCCTCAGGCAAGGGTATCAAAGAAATGAATGCAGTTTGAAAGAAGCGAGGGGCTTGGCCGTGCTCACCTTAGAAACGCCGTGATCCAACGGGACTTGTCCTGTTACACCCCTCCTGGTGATGCTTCACGTCACCACTGTGATTCTCTTGACGAGGTGCAATTTCTAATAGCCATTAAGAAAAAAGTAGTGAGAGACCAGAATTGGCCAAAAGCAAATTGCTGAACTACCACTTCCTACTTAAAAGTAACGCCTATTTGCCCAAATGCAGAAGATTAACCATGTATAACCTGTGGGGTATAAAATAATCATATGACTCCCTGGAAGCCAAGTCACGCCTGAGGAGGAGCTGAGGAGAGGTTCAGGACCTGGGTGGCGGTGCTCCTCACAGTGACTTCGAGCTGCTTCTCCACTTGTGGCAACGGTGTGTGCTCAGACCTTCTCACTCCTGTGCCTAATTATTTCCCATGAGCAAGGAAGGACACTTTGCAAACTGCCTGGGAAGGCGTAGACGTGTTTGGGAACGGGTACATGAGACTGTGGTTAGGGCAGCCCCTGGAGCCCCTGTGCCTGGATTTCCCCCAAAATCTGTGCACCCGCAGGTAGGCTCCTGACCCTGTGGGGACTCCACAGTTCCTTCTTCTGTCAGATTAACGGCCGAGTGGCTCTTGCCTCAGAGTGTCCTGAGAAATACGGGGTGGATCCTTGGGAAGCAGGGAGAACGGCGCTCACCCAGAGCAGGCTCTCAACGAATATGAGCTATTGTTGTGTGATTTAGGCCGTAAATACAAGTCCCTAAAAGCTGGGCGCGTGATCTTTACGAGATGGCAGGTAACAGATCTGAGTGCCTTGCGTTAGAGGTAGCAACTGATGATTTGCTTGGGGAACTCATTTTTAGGTGTGAGTGATTTAAAAAATGCAAAAAAAAAAAAAGGAAAGGAAGAAGGAGAAAGAGTTCTGGAATCATAAAGGTGTTGGTCATCATAAAGTGTGCTGCTGTGACTCGAGTCTCAGGAAATACCAAATGTTTTACAGCAAAGGGACACAGAGATCAATGCAAGCCAGGACCGGACCAGCTGGGGCTGCCAGGCCCACAGAGCCGAGCATCTCTGCTTCCTCCCTGAGCTCACTGGGCGCCCACAACCGCTCGGGGCTCACCCTGCATATCGGGCTCGGATGCTAGTCAGCCTTCACGCCTTCCCATAGACTCCTGAACCCTGCTTGTCCCTGACCCCGAGCGAGCATGTCCCCTTGTCAGCTTCTCTTGGGAACTGGCTGACCACAGCAGGTCGTTTTTCCTGGCAGAACAGGTCATTCCCTTTGTCCAGCTGTCCCCCCTCCCCAACAGTCTGCTTCTCCTGTTTCTTCCCCTGACCCTGTAGAAGAAAAGCCTTCTTCTGTTTGATTCTGAGCCACTCACAGACCTTATGGTCACAGGGAGACCCACTGCCATTGTCCCTACCTGACAAGAGTCCTTTTGAATAAAAATCTCTCCATACTAAGTCCCGAGGTGTTGCTCTTTGACAGAGCTTGAGATGTCCATCTATGCAGGGTGCCCTATCCCCTCTTCTGTGTGAGAGGAACCCCTCTGTGTGACTTCCCTCTTCGTCCCTGCCCCGCAGCAGGCTGATGGTTGCTGGAGACAAAAGGGAGCACCTTTTGCTCTTCCTCCCTCCTTTACCTCATCATCTTCCCCCTTCACCACTTCCCCCAACCTCTGAGGTTCTGCTTCTTGCTGTGCGTGGAAGCTCCTGGAAGACCTGCCTGCTAGGGGCCTCAAACCCCTCACAGAGGAAGACACAGCTCCCCTGGGGAATTGGGGAATGCATGCATCCTGCACTCTCTTCCCAGTCCCACTAACATCCCCTTTGATGGCCTTGTTCGGCAGGCAGGTGGAGAAGTCAGCCCTTTCATAGCAATTACAGCCCTGGACTTGGTCTGCCTAAAAAAAAAAAAAAAAAAAAAAAGGAAAAACACATCTGATCTTGCTAAGAAACTGCCCCCAAAAAACAGAAACTAGGAAAGTGGCATGTCGAGGAAAGGGACATCATGCAGACACATGGAGAAACCCGTGGAGTAGAGGCTCAGGCACAGCTCCTTACCTGGACAACACTGAGACCTGTGGCAGGATGCAGACCCCCTTTCAGAAGTGGAGCTCAGGGAGGCAGAAGGTGGGAGAACCTCCCTAGGCCTGACCTCCTCCCTGGCGCTCCTCTTCGGCCCCCAGGGAGAGATGGGTCAACAGAGCATGAGACGTGGCCGCCGAGCAGCCTTCCTGTTCAACCGTTCCATCTCTGAGGCCACTACTCCAGGACGCACTAGCTGCCCGGTGCTCACTGTGACCTTTGCTCCAATATCCCTTCTGTGTTTCAAAGCAAATCCAAATTATAGGTCATCCTTAGGAAGCTCAGACCCATTTTGTCTTCTTGTCTCTAGAAACTGGCCTATATCAAAAAGCCCATAAGGTCTCACCCTTAGGAGATCTTCCTCAAATTTAAAATTGTGCTGCTCATTTGCATAGACATTGTGAGCTATGTAAAAAGCAAGAAATACAGTATGCAGTTATGCATTTTATATAAACAATTTTACAGTCTGAAAGTTTGACAGCACATGGCAAATTTGATTCAGAACAAAGTCCAATTGCAGTTTGGTAAATGAATACCCTGTCCATAAGGAATTGCTTCAGACCGTGGGGAGTCTGTTTGCTTTAGTGTGAGGGTGTTATGTGCAGGTCCGAGCTTACCAGTGACTATTTGTTCTAACTGCTGGGTTTCACCACTGGGGCATCTCTCAGCTGCAGGACCCACTAAAATGCAGCAGGAAATGAGAATCTGGCCATGCAGACCCAGCGGAGAATCCACACTGGCCCTCTTAGGAAGGAAAAAATTAGAAGGCAAAACAGGTACTTGGGAAATGTGTATTATTATGAATAAACAAATTTCTTAAATTATAAACATTATAAAATCATAAAAATGTAAATGATTTCAAGCAACAATTGTGTAAAGATAGCTTTTTAGTCAAATTGACTTCCTCATGGCTTGTCTTGAGTGTTTCCTTAAAGGAAGGCAGAGAATTCAACATGCTTTTGACTTTGTGGGTACTTTCAAAAGATGATTCACACACAGATGATCAGTGTCTGCTGAGGAACATGTGGCTGCACATCGATGCCCCTTCAACAGTCTAGTAGGCCCTTGGCCCTTACTGCCTTAACAATTCCCACTAGCCACTGTGCAGGTGCATAACCTAGGCATGTGCAATGTTTCTGAGAAACATGCCTGAGTCTTGTTCCAGAGGACAGTGTGCCAGAATGGCGGAAACCTAGCTGACCTTGGTGCTCTGTGTACCTCTTGTGATAGTGACAGGTAAGAAATGGCCACTTTCCATTCCTCTACTCCCAATATAGTGTGCTGCTCACATGTCAAGAGTAAAATCTAATTTCCATCTTCTTGAATCTAGATTGGACCTGGTGACTTGCTTGGCCAATAGGATAGAGTAGAAGTAGTAATCTGGGATTTCTAAGGCTGGGTCACAGAAATGCAGCTCCCTACTGGGCCTCCTGGGATGCATGCTTCCTTTTGGAACCCAGCAGAAACCATGCAAGGAGAGGTTGGATGTAGACAGTCTGCTGGGATCCCTGACACCAGCCAGCCTGGTGGGACACCAACCTGCCCACTAGAGCCTTCAGATGACTCAGGTATGAGCTTCCCTCTGACTGAAACTGCTCAAGAACCACTCAGCTGAGCCAAATCAACCCCCAGAGCCACAAGAGATAATAATAATAATAATAATAATAATAATAATAATAATAATAATAAATCATTGTTTTGAGCCACAACTGCAGGTGGTTTGCCAGCTACATAGATAACTGGAATGGTTCTCTACTTTTCATCATGCACACTAGACCTCCTCTGAAATCATAAAGATGTATGAAAAATGTTTAAAAATCAAAACAAAACATACTTCTTCAAGGAAAGAAGGAAGAGAGAAAGAGAAAGAGAAAGAAAAGAAGAAAGAAAGAAAAAGAGAAAGAAAGAAAGGCCACCATTCCCAAGAAAAGCAGCAGTTAGAACAGGTGCTGGAAGTGGGGGGGATGGAGAGGGGGGAAGGAGAAATCCAAAGCAGTGACGTGGTTGGGAAGGTAGGAGTGGTTACGTTGAAAACAGGGTATCAAACCCAGCAGTGGTTTACATCTGTGCCATGCTGTTTGGATCTACCTCTTTTCTTCCATATAGAATTAAGAAAATGCTACTCATCAAATTATGTCAGCAAATTCCCATTAGGATAAAAGTGTATTTTACAGTGGGGATTGCCAGTTTTGCTGACATCTCCAATTTTAGAATTTACAAAGATTTCAAGCTATGTATCCCTCATGTTCACTCCCTGCTCTAGCTTTGGGCCTGTAGGGTTTTGACACGCTGTTACTCTACGCCCTAAAGTATCTGGCCTGAAAACTGTACTCATAAAAGCCCCTCCAACCTAATCCACCTCTTATAAGTTCATATTTTCAGATAACTACCACATGCATGCTACTATGTACAGATACGTGATGCAATTTCTTTCCCTCCTTTAAGAAATTTTCACAGTTGGAAAGCAGAGACACATCCCTGGTGTTAGCACCACTGCTATGTGCGGCAAGGCAGCATCTTCATCACTGAGAAGACGGTATTGAGAGGTGGAGAGTTCAGAGGAGGGAGGGAGCGTGTTCTTCTAGCCACGACACCGGTCCGAAGAGTCTTTGTGAATAAAGAAGGGCTGGCGCTCAACCATGAGGGATGAGGAATATCTAGCCAGGTAGGAGGGGGCAGGGAGGCAAACAGCACCGGCAAGGAAAGCGCAAAGATGGACTGCCACATGAGGACAGAGAGAGGGATGGGACAGCAGGAGAGCTTTGTGAGTCATGGAGTGACAGGGAGCAACTTCACGGAACTGACTGGAGAAGAAGTGATACCGTGCGGGAGTCATCGAGGGGAAGGAAGAATAGCTGGTAGTCTAAAGACAGGCACCGAGGTGCTTTGGGTTCCTTCCTTGACTTGTCCCTTATTCTATGTCATTAATCCTCAGAACAAGATAGTGTTGGTGTTGTCAAACTGAAACTCAGAGAAATAAAGCAACTTCCTAAAATTCATACACTTAATAAGTTGAAAAGCTAAGGCTCAAAGTCATGTCATCTGATCCCAAAGTTCATACATATTTAGGAGATATTTTGGAAAAATTAGTAAGAAACAAGACAAAGAAGGAATTAAAATGATGCCAATTTTTTCATCTCAACAGGACAGAGAGCTAAGAACCGAAAAGTTATTTCTAAGTTTCTAACATATTCCTGTGAAGTTACAGAGACTGGTCTGAGAGGAAGGAAATGAGTTTCACTTAAGGTACACAGAATGTGAGGAAATGAAGGTCTGTGTAACTGGAGATTTTTGACATGACTTTAGATCCATCTCAGCCACATATTAGTTGTTTTTCAAGTCAGTCAATCTCTGGAGTCTGTCTCCTCATTGATAAGATAAAGATTAAAGATTTACAAAAGATTAATGTGAGCTTCAGACACATAAAGTGCATATCACCTACAGTATTTGGCCCATAATAATAGCTGAGGGTGATCATGGTGATGGCCATGATGTGATGGTAGTGATGGTGGTGATGGTGCTGATGGTGATGATAGTCATGATGATGATAGTCATGATGATGGTGGTGATGGTGGTGATGGTGGTGGTTACAATGGTGATGATGATGGTGGTGATGGTGGTGATGGTGGTGGTGGTTATGGTGGTGATGATGATGGTGATGATGGTGGTGATCATGGTGATCGTGGTGATGATGATGGTGGTGGTGGTGATGATGATGGTGATGGTGGTGATGATGGTGATAATGGTGTTGGGTCCTAAATGAGGGGCTATAGCAGAGATGCAGGAATAGTTCCGCACAGAGAGGTT